ACAACATATGTTGTTCCCTTTGTCATCGGTATGTTACTTGCCCAAGATTCGATCGTCGGTATCTCAATACCTAGTTCAATCTCGTTACGGGCAAGTCTCTTTTTACTCGTTCCGTAATACATCATCCTGCAACTAACTCATTAGTTGCAATGCTTGCAAGGCTTAAGTGATGTGCATTACCGAGAGGGCCCAGAGATACCTCTCCGACAATCGGAGTGACAAATCCTAATCTCGAAATACGCCAACCCAACAAGTACCTTCGGAGACACCTGTAGAGCACCTTTATAATCACCCAGTTACGTTGTGACGTTTGGTAGCACACACAGTGTTCCTCCGATAAACGGGAGTTGCATAATCTCATAGTCATAGGAACATGTATAAGTCATGAAGAAAGCAATAGCAACAAACTAAACGATCAAGTGCTATGCTAACAGAATGGGTCAAGTCAATCACATCATTCTCCTAATGATGTGATCCCGTTAATCAAATGACAACTCATGTCTATGGTTAGGAAACATAACCATCTTTGATCAACGAGCTAGTCAAGTAGAGGCATACTAGTGACACTCTGTTTGTCTATGTATTCACACATGTATTATGTTTCCAGTTAATACAATTCTAGCATGAATAATAAACATTTATCATGATATAAGGAAATAAATAATAACTTTATTATTGCCTCTAGGGCATATTTCCTTCACAATTTACTTTCCTCTGCAATCTTTTACTTTCCATTCCATAAATCAAAATATTACTTTACCGTTTAACCATCTCTATCAGATCTCAGTTTGCGAATAACCGTGAAGGGATTGACACCCCCTTTGTCGTTGGTTGCAAGTTGGTGTTTGTTTGTGCAGGTATTCGGTGGCTTGTTGTGTAGTCTCCTACTGGATTGATACCTTGGTTCTCAAAACTGAGGGAAATACTTACGCTACCTTGCTGCATCACCATTTCCTCTTCAAGGGAAAACCAACACAAGCTCAAGAGGTAGCAGACTGTCGGACTGGTGTTCTTTTGAATTCTGGCATTTAGAAACTAAGCATATTTGCTCTTTTTGGTTGTGATTGGGGATGCGATCCGGCGCGGGTGTGATCCGGCGTGTTGTGTGGATCAGCATAGATTTGAATTGGAATTTGCTGGCTGACAGAATGAGGCTATGGTTGGATGGCGTCCTCCCGCATCCGTGTCCGCGGACTGGCCCCCCCTATCCGCGGACGGATGCGGGACATTTTTTGCGGGTTGCTGTTGGAGATGCCATAACTTGCTCTTTAAAATAGGTACTGGCTATTCCTAGATACATAGAGATGACAATGTGTACCCATTACCCACGTACCCGATGGGTAAAAACCAATGGTATGGGACAAAAAGTCATCATGGTATATAAATAGGAAATCTCAAGCCCACCGCGTAGAGTGGGTACGGGTATGGGACCGCATGATTCATAACCTCATACTCATATATCTGTACAGATTCTAACAAGTACATACAAATTACCTCTATGCTTTGTTGTGAGTTTGTGAACTTAAAATGTATGATTATGTGCTATTGTTTATGACAATGTGTGGTTGTTTTGATGTGTTGCTGTTTATGATAATGTGTTGTTGTTTATAGAAGGTGTCATTTATGATGTGTTGTTGTTTATAAGTATGTGTTGTTGTTATGGTGCTTTGTTATTTATACATTATGATCATATGTTGTTGTTCATGATTATGTACTGCTCAAATTGATGCTTTGCAAACATGTGTATTTTTACCCGCGGGTGCCCGTTTACCTTGTCCAGTGATAGGTATGGCAAAAATGTACCCATTGGTGGGTATGAGTACGGTGATGGGTAGGCTCAAAGGGAACATGTAAGGGTATGTGGTGGATCCACCTGTACCCTAACCCGGTGGGTGCCATCCCTATACATAGGGAGGTTTTCTCAATAAAAGGTAACATATTAATATCAAGATGATACCAATTATACTTGGTTTCTGCAATGACACAACATCAAAATCTGGTTAGGCCATTCTCTAAAGAAGATCACGTTAAGACATTGAAAATGCACACCACCAAAAAATAAAAATAAAAAGAGAAGGAGAAACAAATAAACCCGACACAACCAATGCCTTGCAATAGACAAGCAAGGACGCTATCTAGCATCCTTTGCAACACATGAGCTACTAGAAAGGTTCCCCAAAATAACGCCTTCAAGAAGATAATGAAGCTAAAGTGTTGCCACCGTGGGATTCAACCACTGCAGGGCAGATCTTGGCTTTTCACGCCGGAGAGCACGCCAGAGTAGACTCCAAAGCAATACCTCAACAAGGACATGACGTGTGAAACACTACCATTGCCAGGTACAACAATTGGATGTCGAACCTAGGTTTTCACGCAGAGCTCGAGACCTAGAGCTTGAAAAGCACCACCAAGCCGAAGACACCATATGTTGCCACCACCTGAAGAAGACGAAGCTATGAAAAGGCACCCACTCATGAAAAATTGAAATACGAGCCATTTCATTCCCATTCATGCCCTGAAGGTAGCCGCTCGCCTGCACATCCTTGGCGTGGATATCACCACACCATCAAATCTATGTATGCAAGCACATAACCGTCACAATAATGCAGAGAGCCGAACATCGCTGGGATCCATCTCACTCGCATGTGCTTCGAAAATCCTATGACAAAGGTCGACGACGACAATGACGCCGAGATGTGGCGACAACTCCGTAGCTACCGCAAGCCATAGAGGCAACCACTCCCATCCAACCAATGTATGTCTACACGCCGCAGACCCTAGCCGAGTTGAAGGCCTATATCACCACCCGCGACTATCAGCATCCTATGGCCCTCGGGGCGCCACGCCCAGATATTCAAGCTCCATCAATTATGGCATGCTGCCTGGGCCCCTGTGCTATGTTAACGGAAAGCTCTTCGCACGAGGGCTCAACACACGAAAACGCATCCCCGTCGCTTTCCCCGACCGAGCGGGCCTTGCCCGTTAGTGTCCACCGGCGGCGGCGGGGAAGGAGAGAAAAGGAGGTTGTAGGGATGACAACATCTAGGGTTTTGCCTGATCCGCCCCTGTGGGTGACATGAGTGCTCAACTATTTCTTTTGTATTGAGTAATTTGAGAAGAGATTTTTCAGTACTGTAACAATGGAGAATTTTCTATTACATCCCACCAATTTCGGATAGTGCGTAACCCATAGGGAAAATATAAAAAAAATAGTTTTAACCTTGACTTGTTTTATTTACAAGAAATTGTGGAAAACTTCTTTTCTTTCCGCTTAGAGCATCTAGAACTAAAATTTTGCTCAAGACCTAAAATGTAAAATTTGGATTTTTGGCCCAAAAAACGACTCCAGCAATACATCTAAAAGTGATGCATGCGGACAAAATTGTTTTGGTAGCCACCTAAATTTTTCTACCTAGTACCAATATTTGGGTCCTTACTATACCGCCAAAAATACCAACAAAGTGCCGCAACCCAACCATCCCGGTGTTTTCACCGCTACTGCACCGGCCCACCCTACGTTAGCGCTTGCCGATCACCGACTCCCTCAACGGCCGCTGAGTTTGCGACGCCACCGCCCAATCTCGTCGAGCTCCTCCCCGCTAAAGCTCGATTTCGGCCGGCCGGCGCCGGAT